TTGCGACCGAGGGGTGGGTGCAGACTGCACAGACCAGCTGTTACAGACTGATAGTAATCCCACATCGCTTACACTCGGAATGTATCCCGAGAGGCCTGCTAAGTCCATAGATAGAAAAATTGTAATTCCTTCAGACATTTAAGGTACAAAAATCTATCCAAAGAAGATACCTCTTTTAAATTGTGTAACACCATAGAACTGTTACTTGAAATTAATATTGCTGATAAAGTAGTCAGCTGTTGCTTTTAAACTATATTCCCATATTGTTTGATAATAGAAAAATATATTTTATTGCAGGGTTAATCTGGATAATATAAATGCAACATGTATCCTACAATTAAGGTTGCAGTTTAATCATTAATCATACCTGAGTTAGTTCATTAATATCTATAAGTCCATTACTGTCTGCATCAAAATATTTAAACATTTGATCCACCAACAGCTTCTTCCGAGATACGTCATCGCCATTAGGATTTTCATTTTCTTGCGTGATATATTTTTGATTTTGTAAATCTAAAAGCATGCTTTTCATCTTGCTGTATGCATTGGTCTTGCAGTTATCTCCTGTAACAAAAGAACTAAGTTATTTTCAGAGAAATATTCTGGAAAATAAATAATCTTTCAATATTTAGAAGCTGGTTGCATATAGGTGCATAATTTCTCAAACTTGTAACTTGGATAAGAAAAAAAGAAAGTACTATTACCAAGGGCGGATACCGTCAAATCTCAAATTTCATAGCAATATGTTTGCTGGGGTTTCTCTGTTCACAAGACATTGATGATGTAAGGGACATGGGAAAACACAGCATCTTCAACTAGCTCCAGAGTTTAAATCACTCATCTCCACAACCGCGGTGAAATATGGGCCAGTGACATGAACTGCCCGAGACAAAGTGCTGCCCGTGCTTGATTTTGTGCTTAAATTCATTTATACCTGGCTCCAAAAGATTATGCCATATGTTAAATCTAAAATTGTTGTAAATATTGGATTTGTTTTGGAGAAATTCTTTTCTCTATTCTTTCTGTCTCTGTCTCTCTCTCTGTCTCTCTCTGTCTCTCTGTCTCTATCTCTTCAAATTCTGTGTAATTTTAGTGCCATATTAAGATCAAATCAGCATTCCTCCAAAATCTGCTGTTCAAAACAAACCCTAAGTTTGATTCTCTTGGCTCCAAGAAGAGCTCTCCATGGAGGAGCCCTGAGTAATCATGACTATAGAGGCAAAACAAAAGTCTGCTGTTGCTGCTGACATCCCTCCTTCTTGCCTTTCTGGGCTCTCAGTACACAGCATAGTACATGCATTTGTACTTCACACCCTACAACTTTCACTTTGCGAGTCTCATATCCAGGCAAGTATAGTCCTGCTGTGGGCAACGTGCATTACAGATGTTCAGTGTTTCTGATGTAAAAACCTGTACAATGCTGAGAGCATAATGTTAAATGACAGTAGTTTCTCAGATGAATGTCTTTTTCCCCAAAAAGTTAAACAAAAAGCAAAACTCCTAAAATTGGCATAACATCATTATGCAATTATCTTACAAAGAATTTTGCTTACAATGGTCTCATGATGATGTGTTTTAGAGTATTGAAATGAAATGCATACTGTTGCTAGCGAGTGTGCTATGAAATAAAGTGTAGAAAATACAGCACATAATCCAATTTGGATATGAAACAGTAGGTAGTTGAGGATATTTTACAACATGATTTTAGGAAAAGCCCTCGTATACAACTGCAGTCAGTTTTTAAATTAGGCTTTGACACCATCTACAAAATTAAAAGAAGATTTCTAAAGATGTTTCAAAATGTGTCTCAGAAAGCTGGAGTTGAAAACAGTATTTAAAGTTGCATTCTCCTTCAAGACAAGACAGAAAACAATCGCTCCAGAAAGTCGAGACGCTGGCTTCTTTCTTAAAGACAGTGAAATGACGACTGTTGTGCAGCAAATTGCATGTTTAGACTCCTGTCAAACATTCGCTTCTTCATACAAAGTAAACTGGGGATGCAGAGCGGGTCCAATTTCTGATGAATACTGACAGCAGTTTTCCGTGGTAGCAGAGCTCACTGCCCAGAGAGGAACCCTCAAATCCAGAGCCACAGCGGGCAATTTGGTGCCCGGTGAAGGGGTGCAGCGAGGCCCTCGGTGCATGCTTGGTCTGTGCGTGCACACAGGAGCACTGTGAAGGAGCCGTGCCCGCAACACAGCAGGCACAGCCCTCACCTCTGTGCCTTAAAGGGCTGAGGCTCCTGGCGCGAGTGGAGACTGGGCTTGTGGGGGCGGGCTGGGCCTGGACCCAGGCTGCGGCACCACGGTATGGGGCGAAGCCACGGGGAAGCAGGATGCAAACAGTGGAAACATTTTCACTAACACAGGAGACTGGAGGACGGAGAAGGCTTGGTTTATGAATCAGGGTGAGTATCTTATTCTCCTCACTAATGAGTTTGTTTCCCAAACTCTGCATTTCTTCTCAGTCCCAGCTTTGAGTTGGTTGCTGACAATCCGAAGCAAATAGCAATAAGGGCACTGAGTTAAGATGCAAAAACAGTCATAAAATTTAGTAAATCTTTATAACATGTCTAACTTTAATAAAAAATGTGTGATCAATTTTTTAGTAATAAAAAGTTTTATCTGTTTTTAATACTAGATTTTAGGAAACAAAGCCTTCCTATTTGTCAAGAACTTTATACTAACTGAATCATGTTATGCATGTTAATTATGGCAACAAAAAAAGAAAACAGTATTTTCTACATGAGAAACAAATCTTTAGACTAAATAACTTGTTCATGTTTCCAGGCCCATGAAGGGGAAAGAATGATTTAGTTTTGTCTTAATAAGGATTTATTCAGAGGAATGCTTGTAAAGCCACACACAAGTGGAATGCAGGAAATGAAGAGCACTCAAGCCGTCTCTTGCCCTGAAGCTTCACCAGGTGCGCAGCCCGCTTCTGGGCAGGGACAGGCCTTGTCCACAGGGCAGAAGGACTTCTAAGTGCAGGCGGTGAGTGTCTATGTTGGATTGTCACTGTACTGCTCTGACCATTAGAATGGAATTTTTTGTTGGCATTTAATGCTTAAAAATCAATTTTCGTAAGAATTCAGTAAATTTGTTCAAGGACTTTTTAAAGTAAAAGGTAACAACAACAGCTAATCAAGACAACTGTACATATTAGAAGTGGGTAAAGTACTTCTACCAATGAATGAATGAATGAATGAATGAATGAATGAATGAATGAATGAATGAATGATAGCAAGTAAACTCTAAGCAGGCAATGGAGAAAAAGCCAAATAATTTGCAAGAAGAGAATGGGATAATAGTCAAATATTTCAGAGAAGTAAAACACACCTATATGTATTCTTTATATTGATGATAATTTGGGTGAATTTAAAGGGATTTTTTTTGAACAAGGAGATGATAGTTCATTTTACTTTTTTTTCTTTTTTTTTTTTTTTTTGGCAGAATCGGGGATTGAACTCAGACCCTTGCACTTGCCAGGTAAGCGCTTATTCTACTGAGCTCTCTCCCCGGACCCAAATACAAAACAAATACAAAACACAGATATGTAAATGTTAAATGTTTACTATATATTTGATAATTATCACTGGAAAAGAAAACCAGGTGGTTCTACAGTCCCAACTCAAGAGCAGCACAGAACAGGGTGATAGGCAACTTCTGTTCCTTTGTCTATTTAGGTTTTTTTTTCCAGAACCTAAATAAGCAGCGATGTTGGACTAGCACAGCTGAGGGCAAGGAGTACTTTCCTACTTAGATGCACCTTCTGCTCTGGGGGGCCATGAAGTACTCTCCTCTGTCGTCACTATCTTAAACACTGAGACTGCATCAGGGAACTCGACAAAATCCCTACTCACTGGCCCGGAGCATCTCTTTCTTCCTGCAGATGCCATGATGGTGCAACCACACTCTTTCCACTTCACAGTCATCCCAAGCAGTGCATACAGATTTCTGACAGCCGGACAGCTGCACAGAGCAGGCTGCAGCACTCCAAAGACTGCACGAAGTGTGGAGAATCCACCTCACAGCTGAAATGCCACTGTGGGCTCCAGGTGCCTGAGGAGGTCCCCTGTCATAGCTCTGAGGACCAACTGTGGGCTCCGGGTGTGTGAGGAGAGTCCCCCCTCACAGTTCTGAGGACCAACTGTGGGCTCTGGGTGTGTGAGGAGAGTCCCCCTCATAGTTCTGAGGA